CGGTTTTACGTTTCATTCTCTGCATGCAAATACTAAATTGACATGCAAATGTTTTAACGATTAAAAGCAAATATCCAGTACCACTATGTATATACAAACATACATATAATAATTTATATATACATTTCTTTATTTACTATTATACCTTAAGTAATTAATTTTTATTTAGACTGGATATAATAGTGATATATAAACCAAAAATTGTGTAATATAAGCCATTGTTTACAAATATTATTGATTTTAACCGACTAACGAGTGGAAAATCATAAGTTGCTTGTGAGAGATCAGGCATCATGTGTCACTTGTATGGTATTCACAGTGCAAAGTGCTACGTTATTCAACTTAATGGCTATTAGTTTGGTTCGTTAGTGGAATATTGCTAACGAATGCGCAGCGGCCGCGCATTCCGGCAGGCGGTGAAACGCTCAATTAGCACACACACTCACTATTCAACTATTCTACCTCGATTTTCATATAAAACGTCAGTAATTTCACGCAATGTAAGTACTTAAATATAACAATGAGATTGACATTTCAGGGCAATCTATACATACGAGTATAATAAAATTGTAACTAAGTCGAATCTGTACATTAAATATTTTTCGGAAAATCTAATTGAAATAGACATTATTATCGATACAGAGTCCGAATCTATAGTTTTTAGATTTTTTGTCTGTCTGTCTGTCTGTTATCGCATCACGAGAAAACCACTGGACAGATTTTGATGAAATTTGGTATGATGATAGCTGGTTATCCGGGTCAACATATAGGATACTTTTTACCGCGGGAAAATATCTTATTTCTGAGAAAAAATATAAAAACTGCATTGTAAGAGTATACTAATATTTAAAATCTAAGAATTTAGTTCTGGTCACCTGAACGCGGGCGGAGCCGCGGGCAATGCTAGTTAAACTATATAATATAATTCTATAAGAAATACATATATAATATAGGCCCTCTATATGTGTTTTTTAACTCTGTTATTAAAAAAAAACGTACCGTTCAAAGTGAAAACGAAAAATAGATAAAAGGAAAATGTCTCATTAGAATATATCTGTGCGGCGTAAAGTCAGTTGCTGTGATGGAAATGATTAATATGCCTCATTTGCGGCACGCGCCTCCCCCTAGGACGGCACGGGCTACGGGCCATGGTTCCGAGCTACGCGATGCTACGTGCCACTACGTACATCGTTTACGCTTCCGCGCTGAAAATTTATTAGACCCTACCCCATTTATACTGTTTATCTCTATTATAATATATTTAATATCATCTTGTTTTCTTATTTGTAAGACCATTTGACTTAGTGTATTCATAATATTCAACAAAGATACACATTTGAGTGTAATTTATATAGCTCTACAACAGCAGTTAGGTTTTAATTTACGCCTTTGTGCAATATAGGCTAAAAAGACTACTGGCCTTTCAGAGATTTTCTCTACACAGTAGATAATACATCCTACATGTTATAAACAAGTACAATGTAGTTTCTATATTTAGATAACTTAAGAAAATATCATTACTTTACAAATATAGAATATTATTAAGAAAAAGGAAATGTAAAATGTAATTGGAATCTAAAACATATTATACGTAATGTGACTGGCTCAAGTGGTGTTTATTGGTTAAATTGGAAAGACGAGAGACTTGTAAGTAAGCAATATTATTGTTGTAATTGGTTTCTAATGCCACGTAAACCCCCTAAACGTGTTGGAAGACTGGACCCGGAGATAAAGTGCACCCGCTTGCCGAGTGCCTGTACTTATTTTTCTTTTATAAACAGTATACAATACTGAGAATATTGACATTGCAATTGTAGGTAGATTTATTAGTTTTAACTTATGAAATTGAAGTTAGTTATTTAAGTAATTGATTTATTGAAGTCGGAAAAAGTATTATTGAAGTCGGAATTATACTATAAGTATATGATATTTTTATTTCTATATTGTTTTAATAGATAAAACATTTAGAAAAATATTAATAAAATTAATTAAAATCATCTCGCAAATTTATTTGTAAGTAAGTAACACTAAAATCAATAACGTTTAATAAATTATGATTTAAAATCCAAAAAGGCAAATGGCATTTTACATTGTATTTTTCAATTACGCATATATTGTAAGTAGTATTCCAAAACAGTCACTAGTTTTAAAATGTTTTATACACGCAGATTGAATCACTGTGTGCGAATCAAGTAATTAATCATTATATAATCAATATAAAGGAAATTTAAGAATTGAATTAATAAAAACAGTGAAATAAATGCTGCAACCAAATTTTTCTACATATTTCTTCTTGCATATCCCTCTTAGCCCACTTGATATGCAAGCGATGGGGACAACACATCTCTACATCTTGTGGCAAGAGTGCGAGTTAGAATTTTTCAGCGTGCAATGCTCCAGTCGTGTTTAAATCCTACAAAATTTATGACCCCTCTCGTTGTTGGTGGCCAGTTTTAGAAATACTTGGTAGTTCTTTGTGTATCTCATACAGCGTACCTTTTGATAACGCTTGTATATACATATACACATACACAGTTGAATACTCGAGCAGTGACAAATATTTCTTGTATGTAGGTACCTTTTATGACCCTCAATCATCAAAGGGATGTTTATTCTTATTGACATTGTTATCTTATTATATTTTATAGATGAATTGATTTCCTTTAAATTCAGCGCAGTTACTTACATGTTGCATAATGTAAATAATATTTTAAAAACAATTGCTTATAGTATCTTTCGCCAATTCTTCTCAGGTCTGAGGCTTCGTCTTTCCGAATTGGTAGTAGACTCATGACGTTCAGTAAAAAATTGTAATAATTTAATGCTGAATAAAATATTTAGAATTTTGAAAAAAAGTATAATTATCAGTAAATCAGTTAGTTTGTTTATGAGATGTCGCATGTCAACTGTGAAGTAAATGAAAATTTTATAAAATCACGGCGCTAAAATATCGAATTTAACAAGACTATAAAGCCAATCCATGAATATGAAAGAGCATTACATTCGCTTCGGAAGTAAAAACATCGTGTTTTAATGCCAATAATACGCACGGGACCGCTCGCTGCACTGCGCTACTCTGCACGCCATACAAAAATAAATTCCAAATATGAATCTGCATTCACCTCATGCAGGTTTATTTTTAAAGGTTTAGCTAGCAATTTATTTTGAGCCGCTATCATTATCCTGTGTGTTGTATGAAATATGAATATGCTTTGTGTATACCTGTAAAATTACAGAGAATTATATGAAAGCTATATTTATAACTAATGAATAAAACGCTGCAAATCAAAATAAAACTCAAAATGTTAAATATAGTAACATTTATTTAATAAAAGCTACTAACACTATTGACATCCACATTTGCTAACTATTTTATTTTATACTAGCATTGTCCGCGGCTCCGACCGCGTTCAGATGACGAAAACGCAAATTCTTAGGTTTTACATATTTGTTTACTCTTATATTGCAGTTTTCGTATTTTTTCTCAGAAATGAGATATTTTTCCGCGGTAAAAAGTATCCTATATCAACATATTCGGCATACAGATTCGGCTTATTTACAATTTTATTATATGTATAGATAAAGTGTATGTTTATAACTTATAAATATTTTACATATACTAGCAGAAGTTCAGTTTAGCATTTTTCAAATTTTAATAATTATATTTAAAACATAATAAAAAGCTTTTTACGGTGGTTATAATGATTTAAAAATAAAGTACATCGCGTGACCGCCGTGTATTATGTAGATGGCCGGACTGATGCAGAGACTACAATTTTTAGTCGTATTTTATTGAACGGAACCACATTACCAAGTTTACCTGTGTTTAAAACTTGTAAATTAACTACTGATGTCGTCCAGTTTTAACGGAAAGGCAAACTTTTCTTTTATACAAAATGTATTCCATATATTTGTGTAAATGTAGAGTTCTATATATTTTAAAAATCTATACATGTAATAAAATATTGAGTCGAATCTGTACATTAAATATTTTTTGGAAAATCTTATTGAAATAGTCATTATTATCGATACAGAGGCCGAACCTATAGATTTTAGAATATTTGTCTGTCTGTCAGTCAACATAAGGATACTTTTTACAGTGGGAAAATATCTCGCCTCTGAGAAATCTATACTAATCGTCAAAACGTAGCTAGAGAACGAAACCGAGCGAAGCGAGGGTGAGTCGCTAGTATATTTATACTATCATAATTTTAAGTATTTATAGTATTTTAAATAACAAATTTATAAATTAATAAGCATAAAATAAACATTCCAAATATATATTTCTGTAGTAATAGCACACGTTTCAAAAGTAAAATGTTATTGAAATAATGGACGTATAAGATAGATGTAAGACACTTGTGTGCGACATAAAGCCGGATTTGCTGCGATCAGTAGGGCTAGAGGAAATAAAGTTATGATTTATGCAAGTGAAATGTGTTTCAAACAACGTTCCAGCGGAGGTTCTTTGCTCTGAAATGGAAAAATTCCCAATTCAATGTTTGATGCTCGATGACATTTATTTAAAAAAAAATTAGAAATTAATTTAGAATCGGTTTAGGTAAAATTATTTTCATCGTAGTAATTTATATTATAATAATTTTTAAAACCGTAATAAAAATAATAACTCATATGAGTTTTAGAAGTTATCAAGAGTATATCATTCACCCATGGGAAAATCCCATAAAGTCCATAGACATAATATATTTAAAATGAACCAATATTATTATCAACGGAGAATATAACTCGTGATTTCTAATTTATTCGCTGTACTTCAATCAGTGTTATTTATAATTTTGCCAAATATATTATAAAAAATAAAATATAATTTCGAACTCTCTATCAATAAAACATTGTTACATAATTCACATGTATATTACAAAAATAAATTCTTTATGGAATCCAAATAGAAAATCTCAGTAAAGTTTAAAGTGAAAATCCATTTTATCGATGAAGAGTAATGAAATGTCGCGATTTTTAAAGCAATATTTTTCTTTCAGGATCCCTTACGCTGACAAGATCACCCCGGAGCCGATTCTCAACAACAATGCGGGTCGAGACACAAAGGCGGACTCGATCAGGAACAGTTATAATAGCCAATTCAAAGTTGGCATTTACGGTTGGCGAAAGAAATGCCTCTACATTCTTGTCATGGCACTCATGCTTATGATGATTATCAATCTTGCATTGACGCTGTGGATACTTAAAGTATTGGATTTCAATTCGGTAAATATTACTTTTAAAATCTGTTCAAAGTTATTTAAGTAAATATTTTTGTTAGGTACCAAAGTTAGAGGACAATACTCGTAAATTGAATTTTTTGTTCATAGCCAATTTACAGTCAGAATATGTACGGGTCAATGCAATTAAATAAATAAATAAATAAATATTTTTGGACATTAACACACAGCATCATCTAGTTCCATGGTAAGCTACGAGGCTTGTGTTATGGATACTAGATAGTTGATACACTACATATATATAGCTTTAAATACATACATATTATAAATATATACACCCATGACTGGAGCACAAACATTCGTGCTCATCACACAAATGAATGCCCCCAGCGGGATTCGAACCCGCAACCGCTGGCACAGCAAGTAGGGTTACTACACACTGAGCCAAACGTGTCGCCAATTATAAAAAAAAGTAAATGTGTTTATTATACAGATTTTTCTTACAAGTGGTTTATAGCCAACTAGGTAACTTACATACATACATGTACATTGCTTATAATAAATACATATTATATTAATGATTAAGGAAAGTATTCCGTAAATAAATGAATTAAATTTTCTTTAATATTATTTCATTAAAAATAAATGTTTAAAAGTTACGACGTACATAAAATATATTTTAGCCGTAAAACTCGCCACAGCACTATATTTTTATAGCTTAGACTTGAACTTGGCTAGTTAGGCGAGTTACTAAAGTTACAGTTTACTAAACTTCGCTGCTATAAGTGAAATCTATGTTAATGTAAAAGTATAATATTCTAACTGGTATTTGAAACATATAATAAAATTGTAATCAAGCCGAATCTGTACATCAAATATTTTTTGGAACATCTTATTGAAATAGACATTATTACCGATACAGAGGCCGAATCTATAGTTTTTAGAATTTTTGTCTGTCTATCTGTTACCGCATCATAGAAAAACCACTGGAGGGATTTTGATGAAATTTCGTATGGTGATAGCTGATTATCCGGGTCAACATATAGAATACTTTTTACCGCGGGAAATTTCTCATTTCTGAGAAAAAAAATGCAAAAACTGCAATTTAGTTTTTGGTCATCTGGACGCGGGCGGCGCCGCGGGCAATGCTAGTACAGAATAAAAACATTCGATTACCAAACTTTCAAAGTGGACAAAACTATGAAAATATAATGCTTTTCTTTTTATATAGGAAGGCATGGGTCAGCTTCGAATTGTCCCTGGAGGCTTACAATTATTGGGACAGGCTCTTGTATTGGATTCTCTTTTTGCATCTAGCATAAAATCACGACGTGGGCAACCTATTTCTATTGAGTCGTCTAGAAATTTTACTGTTTCGACTCGAGATGCACATGGGATGATGCAAAGCAAATTATTCTTAGGTAAGTTGCTCTAAGTGAATTATCATAATATTAAATTTCCTTTATTAATATATATATATATATATATATATATATATATATATATATATATATAGTAAAATGATATGAATTCTTTATAATATAAATAATTTGTATTAAATATGTAATTTATATATAACATTTTCATAACAAAAATGTTATAAAAGTTATTTTAAATTCTCTGTCACAGGTCACGATCGTTTAGAAGTTAATGTCGCACGTTTAGAAGTCCGCGATTCTCGAGGTGTACTGCTTTTGGGTGCAGGTCAAGATGCAGTGACCATCGGTGCAGAGAACTTAATCGTAGCGAGTCCGGCTGGGGCCACTTTCAATACAGCCGTACAGTCACCGCTTGTGAAAGCGCCGCCTTCCAAACAATTAATGTATGTTTTATGTGTGGTAAACATTCTTTATTATGTATAATTCTCTTATAATCTGGAAATGTTTGCGTTCTGCAATGTCCATTGCCCACTTGTGATCATATTTTGAATTATAATATTTTAAAAAGCAATAGCTGCATTTCGATCCGGTAGTAGTTTCCTAACGGACTTACAATGTTGGTATTTGTTATAAATGTAAAAGTTAACGACACAAAAGTGGTTGTAAATTCTATATAAATGGAATATATTTTAAATTAAAAAAAAATTATTTATATTTGTGATATATGTCATTATTTGTAGGTACTTTAATTCATTGCACAAATATAATTACTTTATATATATATATATATATATATATATATATATATATTATATATATATATATATATATATATATATATATATATAAAAATCTCTTATCATTGATAGGCTAGAATCACCTACTCGGTCATTGGAGATGCACGCGGCCCAGAGCATCTCTATGGAGTCGCGCGCGGGCGACATCAGCGCCAGCTGCCTGTCCACCTTCCGTCTCCGCTCCGTCGCCGGCTCGGTAAGCGCTGACTTTGGGATACTTGCGTGCCACACAAATAAAACTATATTTGATTGCTCCATATTGCAGGATGTATACATATTAAATATTAGAAATTATACATATATGTATTACATAGGTATTTTGAATGGAACTTTAAATTATGATGATTTTTGGTATATTATTTATTAATATTAATATTTAATGCTTAATTTGACTTCATTTAAATTATATAAGACTGCGCGTGCTAGTTTTAGATATTTAAGAGTACTTTACATTTTAATTTTCGTCTTGTTGTTACTTTTGAATGGTATACATATATTTTTAGAAACTGTGACCAGTACTTTTTTAACTTTTCGCGTCATTAATAAATATATAATGTGTTTATCCTATGATTATTATCGCATGATACGTAGAAACTTTTTTAATTTAGAATTCATTTTTTTAGATACGACTGGACGCCCCCAGTATATACATGCCAAAATTAAAGTCGGCGTTGCCCTTGCCGCCATCAGCGCCGCACGGACATGATCCTCACCATTTGAATATTTATCAACTGTGCGCCTGCGCAAATGGAAAGTTGTTTCTAGCGCCTCCTCACGGCGTGTGTGCTGCCAGGGAAGAGAGCTTAATATGCCGATGATGCTTTAGATTACCATGTAAGATGTGTAGAATAGTAACATATTGACGTGGATATTGTATTAACGCTTTTCTTTTATTCAATAAATGCTTCGTAGAGTTATTACAGCAAATGTTATTCTAAATATAAAGAGATATATTGAGATTGTAACTGTATACCACACTTTTTAAAGCAACTTGAATATATACAAACAATTTATTTAATTTGAACAAAATATGACGTAAATGAATTTCAATTGTATTATTTATATCTACATATATGTACATTTAAAAAAAACTTATATCCTTAAAATTATATTATTTTTCTATATATTGTTCGTAGATTGAAATATAATCCTTGATTCAAGTGAATTGTTCAATTTTTGATTATTGACGTATCTAGAAGTCGCTGGTGAATATTATTTATAAACGTATATAATCTTTGGTATATATGACTTACAACGACTTTGGAAACGTATCAGATTTACATATAAATAATGACTAGTGCCTTTTTGAAGTCGCAATTAGGGTAACGATTGGCTAAAACGAAATTTTCGCAATGTAATGGCATGGAGTTGTTTTATTAGTAAAACTGAATGCGATGTTGTGATAGATCTAGGTAAAGTAGTTATTTAGAAAACTTTATCATTTTACTTTGTATAACTTATTATCACTCACTTACCATTGGTTACCAGCAGTAGGAACCTTATAAGGTATATTTTGATAATTTATCAAAAATAATAAATTCTCATTTTACATTTACATTTTCTCCGTATGTTGAAATTTAAAAATATCTTCCTTTACTTAATTAACTTGTAAGTATTACGAAGAAAGTCAATTGTATACTTTTATCCTCGTATTCATATTAAAGGTATATATTTTTCTCGTAAATACATTAATTAATAAAAAAAGAGTATGTATGTACCTATGTACGATGTTATAACATAATTTCGTTCTATTTCTATATAAAATATAATTTCAAAAGCAAAATTATATTTATGAAATATTCAAATCATTTTAATATCGGAACTAACATATTATGAAATACAAGATGCGGCTTTTGCCAAAATTTATTTCGTTGTATCATAATATACATATCTTATGGTTAATTTTGCAAAATTATCAACATTCTAAAGTAAGAGTTGATCTGAGAGCCCTAAATTATTTAGCTTATTAAACTTATTTGCAATACAAATATATTTTTTTTGTATTTAAAACATTCGTACTTATATAAAACAATCTTGACAACAGAAATTGTCTGTTTGTATAATATTGTTATTTTTCACATAATTTTATTTATTTTCCAATTTCTATCCAATTATATATAAAAGATATTTTGTAATGATGTTTGTTATAATATATATTTTAGCAGTTTATTTCTTTACTATGGATATGCCAGTAAAACTCTTTAGAGATATTATTGAAAAGAAAGCTATACCCCTGTTGCGTATATATAACTTAAATGTATTTAATGTACCTATTACAATTGTTGCTAGTATTGTATATATACTATAATATAATAAATTATAGACATAAAAATGGTAAATAGATATGAATATTAAATGATTGTGACAGACGTGTTGTATTTATTAAGATAACCTTCGAGTGAGAAACTTTGTTATATAAAATTTGAACAGATAGGTACTTGTCTTAAAGGTATAAAATATGCACAAAGTTCGTAATTGAATCGTATCTACAAGCCGCAAGCACTTAATTGTATTATAAACGAACTGAGAATAACTTTGAAACTTCGTCATTTCATTTGAGTTTAAAACAAACTAAACCGACTTTTCTACTTATATGTGACACTCAAAGCGCCAGGTAAAGTAAGTCCAAAATAAACGCTGTGCATGAAAATTGTATAACTGTCAGTTGCACAAGTTCTAAGTTTTATTTTCCTATTTATATTTTCAAGGTATTTTTTGTTATTTATTTTAATTTGTATTTATAAAACTAATTTTATATATTACGTAAATATCTCAGTGTTCTTTAAGAAGAGTTTACAGTACATTCACTATAGTACAACGTGCTTATTGACGCTTAACAATCAGTAAAGTTTTTGCACTTGATTTTTATAAAATGTATTAGAGATGCACATAGAGAACAAACATGAAGAGAAAGCTATGATAAATTTAAATATCAATTTATCAATTCATTTGGCGATCCTTTCGTTAATTCGCTACGTTAGCATACTATTCTTTAATGGGACGTTAAAAAAGTTGGAGTTTCTTTCGAGTAATTGCTGCTTAGCGAATGAAAATTACCATTTTTATAAGAAATAAGATATAATCAAATTGTAACTAAGCCGAATCTGAACATTAAATATTTTTAGGAAAATCTTATCAAAATAGACATTATTATCGATACAGAGGCCGAATCTATAGTTTTTAGATTTTTTGTCTGTCTGTCTGTCTGTCTGTCTGTCTTTTACCGTATCACTGAAAAACCACTGGAGGGATTTTTATGAAATTTGGTATGGTGATAGCTGGTTATCCGGGTACAACATATAGGATACTTTTTACCGCGGGAAAATGTCTCATTTCTGAGAAAAAATACAAAAACTACAATGTACTGTATACTAATATGTAAAACCTAAGAATTTGGTTTTTGGTCATCTGAACGCGGGCGGAGCCGCGGGCAATGCTAGTTTACTATATGATGATAATGATGACTAAAGTTTATTGGTTTAATTTATTACTTCCATTTTTTTTGCATTTGTTTTATTACATATTAAATCCTTCAAGAAGAATATTACATTTTCATCGTTATATATAATTCATTCAAACGATTCCGTTCGTTATTGTCCTTGCTTGCACATGTTGTCTATCGATTGATTTCAAAAAATATTCGTTAAAAATCGAGATTCCATGAGTCTATTTCAACATGAAATTTCAATTTATTCGAGTAAACAGTAGTGAAAGTACAATCAGTAACATATAACCTTCCATGTATAAAACAACCTTTTGCTGCTATATTATAATTTATAATACTAATAATATTTAGCTAAACAAAACAGCACTAAATATATGTTCTAAAACATTCAATATAATGATTATATTACGAGACACAATAAGGTCTCCGTGAACAGTCAGTGTTAAAGTTTAATTAAAGATTCATGATAAATCGTCGTAGGAAGCTGCATTCTGCGCCGCGTCTCGCACATGAATAACGTCCGTTCCGCGAACACTTAAATAACTTAAGCCAGTAACCTAACAATAAATTCATGAGGCTCCACTCCTTTTGTTTGGGCCGCGCCGCGCGCTAATTGGCAGGAAGGACCGTTTAAACGTCTCAAATGAGCTGGTGTTACCATCGTTATAATCATTAAATGAATAAAACCCACTGCATACGTTAGTTAATTGTTAGAGCTGCCTTTAAATTAAATTAATGTTTAACAAAAGAGGTCTTTTTATTAAAATTTAAATTAAAGAAATATATTATCTACTTGCAGCAAGCCACTATCTACGCCTAATTTAATATTGCACGCTTTTGTCGTGGTATCCCAGAGAAGTCTCGAAGCCTTTTCAAAGACACCTCCCGCCTCGAGCCGCTATCCGTGAGCGAGAGGAAATAAAGTTATGATTTATGTTGTGAAATATGTAGGTAGAGAAACAGCATCCTAAGCACTCTCAACGCGCTATGTCGTTATGGGCGTAAATTCTGTCGGTACATAGACAATCATTACGGTATAAAAATAAAGTAACCCATTTACTGCCATTGTATTTTATTGTAATATTTTTCAAATATTTGTATATGTTTATTCATAGGATCCAATATAAGTAAATATTCGTACTGAGCTGACTGAGCCGGGTTCGAACCTGAGAATTTTAGCTTGGTGTATAATATTTCGTATACATTTTAATGGCTATTTACTGAGTTTTTATAATGTTAATTTTTTTGCATTAGTATCTAATACTCATAAGAATAATAATATACATAACGTCATATTAATATCATTGTGACTTGGCCGTTATAGATTATAAATAAAAAAAAAATCTCTCCCATATATACGAGTATATTCTGAGCTATAAAATTATTAATTAATCTACTAGACAGAAAAGAAAAACACAAGATACGAGTGCATGTATGGAATACGCTTGAATCTAAACGTATTTAGATGTCTATCACCATTTTGATACTCGGAGCATGTTTTAGTTACCACTTTCATTTTGTTCTCCTTTTGGATATAAAACGAACACTTTTGAGATACTTTTGTTAACATTACAGTTTTTTTACACTATTGAGAAATTCAGTCAATAAGAATGAATTAGCAAGCAAAAGCTAGTATATAATATTTCAATATTATACTTGTTTTATTTAAACGGTAATAAGCAACAGATTTTATAGACTGAGAGCTCGTGAAATTAATTTTGGCGATGATTCATAGCATTTTAAATCCGGTAACCATTACCTGGCATATTTCAGCCCTGCACCTTTAACTTTTGAAAGTGTAAAACACTTGTCGCTGTAAGCTTGAAATTTGACTAAGATTTATTTTACTAGAAAAAAATTATAGGTGATTTTAGTGAACATAATACCTGTCAGGTGAATCGAAAGGTGTGTAGTATATGTATATGTGATTTGATACATGAATCATCACTAAAAGAATTTTTAGCCTTACAGGAGTACAGTTACTCGGAGGGTACACGAGCTCTTAGACTATTAGACTTAACTGTGACTTGAATTAAAGAAACGTGTAGAATATGTTCTTACAGAATACTATCAACCTGCAAGTATATTGCTAAGTTTGCTCACGTGGCTGCTTCAGAAACTTTCTAAAAGTAAGCTTATTATAATATTTTAATCTAAATACATACATTTATACTGCATAAGGTTATTTGAACCAATTTGCGTTGAAATTTGAAAAATAAATATATTTAATTCTAAAACATAATGGATTTTTAGAATAAAACTTTTAAAATGAATCCTTTCATTATAATAATAATTATACCTTGGCATAGCTAGCTCCAACATCTTGCTTTATCTAGCTAAGACTGTCAAAGCTGGCCTTATTCAAATACA